TGCCCCCGACATGGCCGTTACCCCCACCATGGCGGTGCCCCCCGACATGGTGGTGCCCATGCCATGGCCGTGCCCCTGCCATGACTGTGCCCCCCGACATGGCCGTGCCCCCAACATGGCCGTTACCCCCACCATGGCTGTGCCCCCCGACATGGCGGTGCCCCTGCCATGGCCGTGCCCCTGCCATGGCCGTGCCCCCACCATGGCGGCGCGCCCCGACATGGCTGTGCCCCTGACATGGCCGTGCCCCTGACATTGCGGCCCCTTTCGCCGCCCTCGGCGGCGCTCTGGCTGCCTCTGGGCCCCGCTGTCCTGTCCCGTAGGGTCTGTAATCACCAGCGGGGCGGCCGGCGCCCGCCCGCAGGCCAGGGCAGGGGCAGAGCCCGGGGACGGGGCGCTGAGCTCGGGGTGCAGGGGCCGCCCTGCCTGGGAAGGACAGGGACAGGAAAGCAGCGGCCGCGTGGGAAGAGTCGGAACCAAGCCCTTCATTAGCGCTCGGGATTTGAAGCGCAGAGTAAGACTGAGCTTTTCGTCAGTGTTTGGGGTTCAAAGTATTGCTGTTGCTGCTGTTAAAGTATTAAAAATTGAAGCCTGGCTCTTGAGGTTTTGTTTTGCAGTTGTCTTTGTTGTGCGTCATTTTGGGTTTGTTGAAGAGAAGATGAGAACTGAGAATGGCTCCGGTGACTGCAGGAGCCCAAGCAGGATGTGTGGCAGCCTACAGAGCAAAGAGCAGTGGGGGACAGCTGAGCAATTCCCACTCTGCCTGACAGAAAGCAGTGGCCCAAGCATGTAAATGCATACTTCCATAGCACAGTGACCACGTTGTGAGACTTGCAGTCAAAGGAACAATATTGGAAACCTAATCTGCCAAAATAAGCCTTTCCCAAGTGATTTATTTTGATGCATACTTACTGTTAGTTTGAACAAAAGAGTGCAAGGATTGAGTGAGGACAAAAAAAAAAAGAACCATCAGCTTAGCTTTCTCAAAAAGGCATTAAATACACTGAGTATTTACACTGCTTTTTGTTGTCTTTCTGCACCTGCTTTGCGGTCAAGGGTTTCATTTTCAAGCACCTTTCACAACCTATTAGATTAGCTAGCACAGAAATCCGAAAATAGTGACAGTATTTGCATTAAGAAAACTATGTAAATACAGCACTTATCCCTGGTACGAATACAAAATCAAATGTGAATTTTCTAGGGCCTGGAATGATAACAGTTTCAAGTGTCTAAGCACAGAGATTTTGACTCGAGATTATTTTAGATTCTTTAGTTGTTTACTTTTAACTTGTATGGTAAGGATGACTTTAGGATGAGAGGGATATAACTCTTCTGCCATCTGTAGTTCATGGAAATAAGTGTTTGTTTCTTTTTGGAATCACAGAACAATTTAGATTGGAAGGTACCTTTGAAGATCATCCAGTCCAAATAAAACGCTTTCCTTCTAAAATCAGTGCCAAAACGTTTGTGGATTGTAGTGCAGGAATTTAATTCTTTACGTTTCAAAGCTGTGCTATGGCCATGGACATATATGGCCATAGCTGTGCTATGGCCAAAGACAGCAAGCCTGTCGGTCTCCTTAGGAAGCCTTTTCCTCATTTTGAATGAGGAAAAACAGTGATAAGCTTTGGGAAAATAAATAATGCCATAAATCTTAAAGTTTGTTTCAAGTCTGCAATAATCAAAGTTTGCTTGAAGCGACCATCACCAAACACTTGYCAGTGGCCAGTGACCACTTGCTAGCTGGTGACTTCTGCTTCTCATCTCCTTGGTGCTCTTACCTGCTCAGTTGCCTCCAGATTATGAACATTTTTGCCTTTCGTTGACACTCGGCATAGCTTGGCAGGACCTCAGGACCTTGCCTAGAGAGTTTCTGTGCTGAGCCAGACTGGTAAGCATATTTGCTGGTTAGGTACTGTAAAAAAGAAAAGCTTAGTAAACTATTGTAAATAAGCAAATGTGCTGCTAGATGTGGCTTTATATTCTTAGAAGCAACTGAAACCATGATAAAACCAACAGTTTTCTGTGGTGTGTGTGTGTGTATCTTTTTTCTTTTTTCTTGAAATAAAAGGTTGTCGTTGTTGGGTTGGTGGCCAACAAGAAAGCGATGCAGGGTATCCCTGTGTCCCTTGTGTCCCTGATGCCGGCACCGTGTGTCCTAGGCCTGCCATGATACTCGTCGTGCTCATGCTGCCACAGGGGCGTTGGAAACGTCCTCCTAGCTGTGCTGTCTGTAGGGCCGCTTAGACGACAGCACAGCCGGTGGGACGCAGAAATACCCTCACTGGGGGTAGGGCCAGGGTGCAGCGAGGGCTGTTTGTTCCTGCGGGATGGGCAGTTGGGAGCCGGGAAGGGCACCGTGGCTGGCATGGACAGCCAGGGCCTGKGCTGGGAGCGGCGGAGCTGCGGGTGCCCTGAGGGACCTGGCACATGGTGAAATGCTGCTGCTGCAGGAAATGAGCGACTCCTTTTGGCTCCATAGCATTTCCCTAACCTTCCCTGCATCCTGGCAGTGTTAAAGGATCTGGTAGCATTGAAAGGATCATCAAAAGCTGAACTTCAGAGAGTTAAATATGAGTTGCCGAACCCTCAGGTTTTACACCTGCTTTCTGGCTACTCTTTTGTGACTTAAACCGGAACAAAAAATCCRAGAACAAATACTTACAAAATCAGCGACTGTAGGTAGTGTTTTAAGACCTTCAAAACACTTGCAAAAAACCAAAAAAAGGTAGTTCTCTGCAAGAGCTCTGAAGAGATGGCAAGATTTCTCTTCCTTGTTCTCAATCTCTGTGGCTGATTTGTATTACTAGTATCCTGGCTCTGGCGCAATGTTTTCCGACCTTCCTGAGCCAGACCTGCGAGTCAGTCCGGACTTGCCGCCGGCAGCTGCGGGGTGCTGCCCRACTTCCGCTCCCTCCGGAGCAGGGYGCTCCCCGTCGCTGCATCACACTCTCTGCTCATCCTTTTCCACTGCCAAGGTCTTTCGTAACCTCTGATCTTTCATAAGCCCTAAATGCCGGCCGGTTCCTTGCACATGCCTTTCATAACCTTCACGCATGCCACGCGTTTAATCTTGTCRACCCGAAATAGACTCAGCCTGGCTGAACCTGAAACGTTGTTTGGTCTCGGGTGCTTCGCCCGCTCCTGAGCCTAGGCGGGTTTCGTGTAGAGCTCAGGCTTCCTCCTCACTCTACAGAAGGAGCACTCAGCAGTGGAAATGTGCTCTCCAGCCCAGGTGGAAGCTCCTGGCTTGCTTGCTTCACAGGGTGGGAAGTCCTTGTTGATGTACGTGCGGTTCAGCTGGATGTTGCTCTGAACTGCTGTAGGGTTCCTATCAGCACGGCTGCTCTTGGTGCTCCAGGACTTCCCAAGAAGTCTTGGGACTTTTATGCCACGGAAAAGCAGGGTCACCCCAAGGGGAAGCTGCTGCACTGCAATGTGTTTAATTATGCCTTAGCCAACAGCCTGCCATGCTCCTCTTTGACAGTAATTGCACACTGCGGTGATGTAATAAAATTTGCTGTATTTTTTACAGAGAGAGAGGGTGGCCACCTCTAGCTAAGCAGCCATCAGTGTGAAATCCACAGATGTCTCCAAATATGAGTCCTTGTCACTTCACAGGTTAGAYTGATGATTCCTTAATAGGGATTTGCATGTGAGAATGAGTGACTAACAGCTTGAATAAAAAAGGAGGAGGAAGAAGAGAGAAATAATCTTTTGGAAATATTAGCTTGACAGGGCAAAGGAGCACTTCCTCAGCATGACAGCCAGTGACTTGCTGCACTGCTATTAAAGCACTTCAATGTGATTCTGTACAGATGGTCTTTTTAGACAGCATAGGATTATATTGGATTAGTCATATAAAATTGCTGGTTACTGTATCTAGCCMTTTTCCCTGAAGCTTTTATCAGTATCTCATGAAGAATGAAGTCTGGCCCCGAGTCTGCCTTCAAGAGGTAACCCAGATGACAAGCTTTTGGTTTGTGCAAATTATAATATTAAGTTGAGCGCAGTGGTCACGTTGCAGTGATAGATTTTATAGGGGATAAAGATGATGTTTGGCCCTGATTTTTGGGCTATTTTTTGAATTTACAAGAAGGGAAGGCAAGTTGGAGTCTCCTTTTGCTTGCTAGGATCCCTGGAAGAAGTGCACTGATCACGGTTGGTTTYGCCTGATCAGAAACAAATAGGGATTTCCAGCCCTGGCAGCCTTTTCCGTGCTGCTCATTAGTGTGTCTCCAGCCTGCACCACTCCTCAGTGCTGCACTGGTGTTTCCTGTGTTCACTTCCTGCCATTCACAGCCATATCGTGAGTACCTCTCTCCTTGATACTCTCRATATCCTCGATATCCTCAAGGGCTCCTGGATCTACTGCTCGGAGAGTGCCCCCCACATGCTCCCTTCTGCCACAAACTCGCCACTGTAAAGAAAACATTAGAGAAAAATAGTCACTCAAACATTTGGTGTGGAATTGTGCCTTCAAGTCTGTCCCGGGAGCTTGTTAACATGGAAATCAGGACACTGGCTCCAAGATCTGACAGGCAGATCTAATTATAAAATGGTGTCCTGCAGGGTTTGCTGGAGGGGAATTATTAATGCTAAGCACAATGGCTACGCTGAGAGGTGTAACACATACAGAGGGGTGAACAGTGCTGAGAGCCAAATATTATTAATAAAAATGAACTATAAGAATGAATTATGGCCAAGATAGCTTTCCTGGRCTGTGGTTGCCTTTGATTCTCCATGGAAAGATGCTTTTATTCTCTACAGAGAGCTCTGTGGAAGAAGTGATAGAGTTTCAAGATGTTGCTCTTCTCTCTAAGGAATGTGTGTGGATCAAGAATAAGATGTGGTAAAAATCTTTTCCCCTAGCATTGAAGGCAGAAGTAACAGGCAGTGTCTGTCACATGCATGCCATTATAATTTTTGAACACTATTCACTGAAAATACTTTAAGAAAGAAAAAAAGATCCCTCAAATCCCAAACAAGCTGGTGTTATGATCTGATTTTTCTATCATTATCTGTAAAAGAGAACTTCTGTCATGACACTGCAACAAGGATATCTGTAGTCTATTTTTGTTTAAAAAACATTACCCCAATTGGTTTGTCAGCTTTATGATTAAACTGATTTCCCTTTGTTCTTATGTGTTAAA